GTAGTTGCGTATGTAACGTATACGCTCCGTAGCACCATACGAATCGATCTAACTCGTTTAAAGCCTGATTATGGCAACTTGCAACTTAACTTAGCTTAACGGAACGTAGAACTTAGAGTATCAAAATGAAACAAATCGACGAATCGACGTGGCATTAAGTGACGTAAAGTTTCGGCTGTTCAATTATAACCAAAATCCATTTAACAGAATTTTTAATTGATTGCCGTAAGTTACGTTAAGTTGCCATAATCAGACCATTACTCGCACGCCCTAACTTAAATGTCAATCTACATCTAAATATATCAATCTATATACTTATTTCTAAAAGGTATTTTTCTGTTACTAAACGACAATCTATCGATAGTGGATACCATTGATAGTTGGCGATGGTTTTTGAGCAACTATTGGTTGTGTCGATAGTCACTTTCAGCCGATAGGGCAGTGCTATCGATAGTCGCGATAGTTTGCCACATACTCATATTTTTATTTGTATCGTTACTCCAACCCACAATCTCAGTTAAAAGTTAAGTTGTATTTTAAATTCAAATAAAATCGAGATCCAAACGCCAGGACTGCTATCGAAAATGTATGTACTCCATGTATTTCTTTTGTAATGTAATGTAATGTATTCCATTTCTTCAATCCTTTTGCTTTTACTGTAAATACGTATGTATATGTATGTACAACTTCGCAAAATTGTTTGCAATGTAAGTTGTTCTTATACCAATCTTTGAAAAAAATTAAAAAAAACCGCATCTAAAATCTCATTATTGCGATTCCTTTTAAATTGTATTTATTTTTTAATATTTTTATGTAAGAATTAACAAGGCAAACTTAGCACAGAGCGTAGGCAACCGGCTGAGTCAGTGGTGATCGTCGGTTCGAATCCTACTGAAAAAAGTCTGATGAGGAAATGTGGCTGTGTGTGGTGTGCGGAAATAGCTATCACTTCTACCATTTTTTCAAATTATTGTTGCTTTTCCACAATAAGTTTTCACTAAAAACGGCCTCAAGCTCATAAAAATTGTTGAATATAAATTTTTTAAGCATAAACCGTTTTGTCATTTGAGGGAATTTAAAAAAAAAAAACATCTTTAAGAAAGTATTTTTGTTCATAAAAAACTCCATTTTTTGGAGGTATTTTCAAATTGGTCCAGCTCGCTTAAATCTTAATATGTGTCCTAAATATTTTGGTGGACGTCTTAAAATATAATAGATTTTATAATTCCAATGGAAGAATAGTTCCGTTTTTTTTTGTATGGGGAGCGATGCAGTCTAATGTACATGTGTGTCTACTACGCACAAAGGCTGGTCGAATAATAAATATTGTATATGCATCGGCGTAGCTAAAATGAAATTTAGGGGGGGGGCTCGACCCTATTAAGTTGGCATTTCAGGGTACTATTTTATATATATATAAGGAAANCCCCCCCCCCCCCCCTCCCCCCCTGCACCTCCGCCGCTACCTGGCTACGCCCATGTGTATATGTAATATGTTAATGATTATTTTTTTTTTTTATATAATGGATCGTCACTAAAGGGAAAGGAGCTACAACCTTATTCATATAACGGTAGTCATTTTTCCAGTTAGTCGAAACCTTTGGGTGTACTTATGTATGTTATTATTTTCCACAAAAGCTTATTTCTATTATCAGATTTCTATGTAGTAGATACCATTTAACTTTGGCTGTAAACATATTTATCTTTACCAACGTACATACTTTACATAGTAAGTATATGTACCTACATACAAACATATAGTATCTGTATGCACACTACTTTGGTCCAAAAATGTATGAGAACAAGTAAAGTCGGAATTGTTATGCTCTCACCCCCGAGGATTGTTCTATACCGAAAAAAAGTATACCTCTGTTTTAATTTTATTTTGAAATCAAAAAATATTTAGAGGTCGCTCAAAGCGCTCTAAGTTTTCCATGTATTTTTATATTGAGAAAAATCAGCTTTTCGTAGAAATGGTATAGAATTCTTAAAACTCAATATTTTTCGATCGAAAAATTCTGTTTCTCTGCAGGAGATTCCCAATAATAATATCTATTGTCTATTTAATAATTTTTCATCGCAAATATAATTTATAGGTCCGCCAAAACCCCTAAAAATGCAATGGGGGCACCAATAAAAACTCGTTTGTATTAAAAAATAGTTAAATAAACAATTGGGTATTGTTATTGAAAGTCTACTGAAGAGAACCAGAGCTTTCCGATCGAAAAATATTGATTTTCAACAAATTATATATCATTTCTACGAAAAGTTGTTGTTTCCCATACAAAAAAAAACATGGCCAACTTTGAGCGCTTTGGGCGACCTCTAAATATTTTTTGATTTCAAAATTAAAAAATAGGGGTACACTTATTTTCGATATAGTAGAATCCTAGGGGGTGAGAGCATTACAATTCCGACTTTACTGTTTTTGCACCACCCTAATGCACACACCGTTTTTAATTTATAAGCGAATTCGCTTCTCAACGGCTAATAAATCAAGTTTCAGTGCAAGCCATAGGTAAAACATTCATCTTTTCGGCTAGCAGTTGCATGCAGCATGCGTGCACAGACGTACACACTTTACTGTTATTATGCACTCTTCTATGAATCTTTGCATTGATTGCAATTCAGCAGTTACGATTGCATTTATTCACACCTTCGAGCACAAAATAAGCGACAAACCTAAAACGACGCCTAAGGATGTCCAACACCCATAGCAACAACAAACAATGAAACAATACCAACAGCTATGCCACCTCCAACTATGTAACTCTACTCGCATATCAAGGCTTGTGCATGTGAGTGTCTCTCTCCCGTCCGCCACATTCACCTCCACGTCATCCAGCAGTTGCAGCTCTAACGTCAACACCATCGTCGCAGTCGCCACTCGGCCATGCATCGTTGTCCGCGCTATCGTTACAGTCGTCGATTACATGCCATATCCAATTTTTCGATCGACACGAGCGTGCATAAAGCGAATTAAACGAAAAATCGGTCATCAAAATCGAAGCGCGCCGAACAGCGAACGACACATCGAACAAACGGAACAGAGCGAACACAGAGCGAATGAAAATGCAATAAAAAGTGAGCGAATAAAAGGAATTTAAACGTTCATATTAACAATGTTAACACCAGCACCAGCGCGAGCCGTCGCGTCGACGCAACACTGCTCGAACAGCGCAAATGTTGCAACAGGAATTTCAACAGGAAAAGTAATAACAAAAATAATCGACACAAAAACAACGACAACAGATGCGGCCACATGCCACATGCCACACACACAATCCGCAGTGGGCCAACAATTGCAACTGCGACTTCGACAGCAACTCTCCGCACGCCTCACCCTCACTCCCATGCACACTCTTCTTCAAGTGCCTGCTGTGGCCCACGAGATGGAGCATCCATTGCCCCGAGTATGAGTGTGTGAAGCCGCGTTGGCTGATGCGCCCATCCGCTGATATTGGCATTGTTCTTGTTGCAGTGAAATCAACGCTTAATGGTGTTCATATGATTCACAAGCCCCACCACCAAATATAAAGAGGCCGGGCGATGAGAGGTGGTTGGATAAGCAGCAGAAAAGTAGGAATTGTTAGTTGCAATTGGATTTTTGGCGATGGCTTCAATTTCTTTTTTTTTTTTGTGCAATTTTTGGCATTTTTCGATTTCTTGCGGGAGACCATTAGGAGCATTTACACGTGAGGAGTCGTCAGCCTTATTGTTTACCATCATCACAGCCACCAATAGTTCCACTAGCGAACGTCGCAGCGGTGCATTTCATTGCATTTGCCACCTCTCAGCGGCACATTCATCGATCTTGACGTTGACGTCCGACTGTGGGTGCGTGCGTGTGTTTGTGTGCACCTAGTTTTGCTGTTTTAGAATCGTGCCACACCAGGGCTGGCCGCCTGGCCAATTGCCTGCTTTACCTTTACACTTTTCCCCCCGCCCCTTTTGTTCGTGAAATTTTCAGCATTTTGAGCTATCGCTATTTCTACCGTTAATGCTCATTGGTGAAACCATTTCGTTGTTACGGCCAGTTTGGTTTATTATTTTAACGTAATCCTTTGGTGGGCAAAAGTGAAAAAAAAACTCAAAAATATTTACACAAACATATGGGTGCATGTGCCTTTAATATTGTTTTGTTTTTAGCTTCAAAGGTGTAGAATAAATGGCGAAAAGCTTGAACATTCATTCTTCGCTCAGCATGAGGAAGCGACTGGAGTTCATTAATGCCAATAGTGGGCTAACGACTAGCAATTCGACTTCAAATTATTACATATAAATGTAGAAAAATCTGAGGCAGAGACGTGCGCTTCATACAATGAAAAGGGATCCGTAGGCAAGGCGGATGCTTGGCGATGAAAGATTATCAAAACAACCCGAATGCAATTTACAGGCAAGGAAGGACTAGAGACAGACTGTAACTGAAGAGGATTTCATACCATCAATGTAAACCATAGGAGCGTCGCCTCTCTGCCATCTCGATATCTGAAGAGAGAAGTATATTTGCAATTTATCTGGAACTAATTACTAACAGATCGCGGGACCATTTGCAGCCAAAATAAAGATAAGTACTGCTCGTACTTTAGAAAATGATAGCAAATAACATGGGATACTCCCTTTCGATTTCCGATGCGCGCTTTGATTTTATCACACAAATGGATGGACCCACAGTTTTAAGCCGCTTTCGAAGGGCAGATGGTTTTTATGAGGAACTTTTTCATAGCTGATATACACTCTCTGGTTTGTATTTACTTGCCGATGGGCAACCGGTATTTAAAAATGGATTTTTTGGCTGTTACTAGGACCTCTAAAAACTCGACCACAGTGGCCGATAAAAGAAGGTATGGCTAAATATACCGCCACTTTACAGGTAGCCCATCTGTAAGAGCTAACGGTCGACATGTATTATTCTGATGCAATTGAAGAAAATGTTCTGCGGGTCTATTATATTAGCGGATGTTTTCTTAATGAATACTGAAGTTAGCAGTCAGTTTTACTTACCACTTCAAATTTATCTTAATTTCTCCAACTATATGCGCATCTCCGAGATTATCTTACTACTTTAGACTTGGTCGGGTCAATACAAAAAATGTCCACCTACTTTCAATAACTTCAGTGATGTCCAACATGTTTACCACAAAGGTTGATAGGTTGAATCAGAGTATTGTACAAGCGATACACTAAAATAATTGCAATGGTTGGATGTGCAAGGTGCATTTAATAATTTTAACTTCAAATTCATGGCTGCCGTAGGATAAGATTCTTAGATTATTCCCTGGATCGCTGAAGTAAGGAAAACGGATACAATAGCTACTCTTCAAGCTAGAGTTTTATCTCCACTGCTCTTGCTACGTATGTAGTTGAGCTAGCTGTCCAGCTGACGAAAGCCAAAATCATAGACGAACTAATTTCGAACTCCATCATTCAATGGTGCCAATTTTAAATTGTTAAAAGAGGCGAATTTGGGTGGTGGTTGTTATCCTGAAATAGTACTGGGATAATATATTGGGTACACTTAGCAGTAGTTAGACTTGTTCAAAGCTATGGCGCGTTGGTATGGTGGAAAGCGGTTGACACCAAATCCCACCTAATCAACTAGAAAAGGGCGCAAAGCAGGTATACATATCTACTTAGATATATACAACAGTACTCACCGTTCTAAGCGACCAGATTCCGTTATTAACAAATGGCTCCAAAATGGGTATTGGAACAGAATCTGGGGTCTGCTTTCAGAAATTGCCTTTGATAGAGGCCTATAGATTCCCACTCCGCAGGGCCTGGGTTCAAGCCCTGGTCAAAGCAACATCGCAAAAAAATGTAGAAGAAAGATTTTGTCTTAACAGCGGTCGCCCCTCGCAGGCAATGGCAAACCTCCGAGTGTATTTCTGCCATGAAACACAGCTTATCATATATCGATGTAAAACTGTAGGGCGCTCCTCTATGTGTGACAACATCAAGGCGCACGCCACAAATCGGAGGAGAAGCTCGGTTAAATATTAACGAATGTGTAAGCGCCAATCTATTATTGTTACTCCAAGCTGGGGCATATGTACTTGACAATACCGCGAAGCTGCATATTAACTCGCCCTTTGTTTTGAACAGTCAGGCTGCGATCAACGCCTTTAGGTCCGTTACAATTATCGAGTCCAAAGGTCCATACAAACTCTATTGAGCCCTCGAAGGCAGTGGTGTTTCGGAAAATGAAGAAGCAGCCAAGTGCGCGAAAAATGGGTATGCGATGATATAAGGAGAAGCAGGTCAAAGCATACTAGCCATCTTTTGAGTGCTGTCCCTTGAGTTGGGAAGATGACTTGAACAACAATACTTAAGCGAGCGCCTAGCACTCCGGAGGAAGCGTCTCAAATTTCAGTGACCACTTTTTCGTGAAGTGAGACAGCCTAGGAAAAATGCCATCATAGTTTCCACTAGGTATAGTTTAAGAACATGTAGAGGCATGTCAGCGAAAATACTCTACGGAGTATCGTAGTGGACGTTTGCTGCCTCCTAGTGAACTCTTAACTGAAGCTGCACCGCCAACCTAACTTTAGATCAAATTTTCAAATTCATTGCTTCCGAGAAGACAAAAACTTTTTTTCTTAACTTGCCAACTATATAGTCCCTAACCTGTCTGGTTCAAGTGATTTTCACGCTCTTAACGGGATCGGAAATTATTTCAGGTGAAGACACAAAAGTTGTGTGAGACATTCATTGGGATTGCGCATTCAATTCCTTGTGCATTCATTGTCTATGCTGCAGCTTCCAGCAACTTGAAATATTGATACTAAAATAATATACTCTAGCAATATATCAGGCTCGCATTTCGCGCGATTAGAGTAACAATTTGCAGTTGCAAATGGGTGTGTTGCATTCTGAAGCGCGCGTATATCATTCCGAATGCCATAAACTGGTTGCAGGAAAACTAATGTGCAACAAGATCGCACGTGAGCACCGAAAGCGGCGGAGATCTTCTAGCCAATTGAGAGTAATCGCCAATCCGCCAACATAATCAGATGCAGATAAGCAAATTAAATAAGTGGCAGATTACAACCGGCTGCCAGACGCGGTCGCAACGACACACAGCATATGCAACCGGGCATGGGCAGGAGCTGCCGCGATTACATTTGGTCAAATGACAGAAATACTGCGCTTGCGCATTACTTAATTGCGCATTTCGCACTGAGCTTCATGCACCGGCCTCCTCCTGCCCGGCTCTTGCAAGGATATCACCGACAACAGATCGCTCGAAGCCGAATGGGGATTATCACACGGGAACTTGCATGCCTCGCATCGCAGATCCGTTGCATTCGGCAAGGTGAATTGTGCACCAATTTGTTATTGAGTTGCAACAAATTGAAGCAACTGATTCGCTGATTAGCCGTCGCCGCTCTGACTGCCGCGGATGCCACTGTTCTCTCTCTGTGCTCGGTGGCTGGTGCCGGAGGCTGAGGCGTGAGGTGTTGCACGATAATCGCATTACCTGCGGCGTGTTGAGCGCGACACCTCGCTGATGTTGATGCCGCTGCCGCTCCATCGGTGCAGGACACATGATTGACAGGTGTTGATTGCAGCAGGCGGTCAGCTGTGGCGTATATTTTGCTGACGGACTTCGACAGCGAACGCAGGGGCAGTGCCGGTGGCAGCATTCATCTCGGCATAATATGATGGGCTGTTGGCGGAATTGGTAATTGGCGCGTTGCAAGCGTGAAATAAATTATTACAGTTCGTACGTGATTTCAATCAATTTTTGTGTTTCACGATCAGCAGATGATTTATTGTAAGGCGATTTTACACGAATATCCGTGAATATATGCAGGGATCTACATCATACATATGTCTGCACATTACCGTCGTTTTTTTTTCATAGATTTGCGGCATTCAAATTATATAAAGAATGTTCCATGTATGGGGCCGAGTGTGTCCGTATGGTTGGCATTCTTTTAGCTGCAATTTGCGTAAATCAGGTTCTAATTTACGCCTTCGATGCGCTTTGCATTGCCCACAAGCCGACGGCAACAACATAATTGCACGCGCATGCGCACTCTGCCTACATCCGTAGGCGCTGCAGAGGGCGAGGCGGCATTGTTGTGAGTGGCAGTGCCGCTTGTACGGGCGTATTCGCATACAAATCGAAACTGCAACGCGTCAACGCATTTTTCGGCAACGGGATAAGCTGCCTTTGCATTGAGGCCGATTCTTATTTATTTATAAGTTTTATTGGTGGCTTTAGTAGTGCGTGCTTGTAACGGAACTTGTGTGAAATTTAATCAATAATTTCATTGATTGCTTTGGCTGTTCGAATGGTCATTCGCGCGATTCCCATTTTGCAGCTTATGCGTGAACAACTTAAATGCGCGTGTGTGCAAGTGTTAGCATTCATACATTGTATATATGTACATATGTATGTATATAGTTTGTAGTAGCGGCCGCGCAAACGCATAATTGAAATTTTACGCCAGGGTCAAACTGCTGCTGTAGCCGCTCTAGTCTAAGCGACTTTCACGTGGCACTGGCTTTGATTATCGTGCGTTTTACATTTTTGTTGCAATTTGATTGGAATCGGAATGGAGTTCAGTATTACAAACTAAATACAGAATTAATTTATATGCTTTTTGTTTATTACAAAATGTCCATTTCTGCAGATCTCGTCCATGGGTTTGATCGTCTTCCAGCAAAGCCAATATAAAGCGTCTTCTAGCCGGAAGTAGGCTGCATTTCCAGGTGCATACCTTTGACTTACCTTCCTGGTCTTAGAGCGGTAGTTAGAGGTGTGCACTATTGCGTAGTGGTTGGATTCTGGGTCCAAACAAACGATGCTACAAAAACAAAAATCACGAAATACACCCGACACAAAACTTAGTGTAGGTTGTAGGTAGGGTAGAGTACAACATGAAAATAGCCTTCTTTTAGTTCCTGGAGACTGCATCTTTTTAAAGCCGATATTGTGGTACATGATGCTTATTATGAATTAACGGTTTGACTTTTTGAAAATACAAACAACAACCTGATGTCTCACTTATTGAAATCGCATAAAATCGCATTGTCGAGCCTAAACGATTTAAATAGAAATCCGGCCTCGAATTCATTTGTTTGTATGTATCGGACTTACAGATTTTTTGAGCAGTGAGGCTAACGAATTAATTAATATTTACTCAAAATTTATACCTACCCAGGCCCTTTAGCAAAAAATGGTCTTCAAACAAATTTAACAAAAATGGGCGCGGCTCGACTAAATTTGGTATACACATTTTCGGAGATTATGAACCGCGCTACTTGCATGATCGAAAATATGTTAGCGAAAAGTGGATCCGCAAGGTGGCGCCCGTGTCGAATTTTTTAGAAAATCCGTACTTACTGCGAAAGTTGTAGAAAAATCTATCTAAGCGGTGAATCATACTTATTACCTATTGAATTGTTTGTGTGGGCCTAATGCTTGCAACATTTATGTAGGTATAAGAATATGATGCTTTTTATTTTCTGTAAAATTTAGTTAAACAAAATTTTGTCCTAAAATTTGCCGCCCCTAAAATGTACCGCCCTAGGCTCTAGCATACTCAGCCTATTGGTAAATCCGGCACTGGACTCAAAAGAACCAGTTCATGGATCAAAGGAAACTCTGTTCATTCACGTAGCAAATCACCGCGTCACGCATGCTGCCATTTAGTGGGCAACACGAAATCTTGATCAAAGACCCAGAGATAAAAAACGAGCATTTTTCTTCTGGAGCAGTCAGGCAGCCCTCAAATCTTTACACTAACATATAGACAAGGAACGATTTTTCGTCATCCCTTGTCGAATTTGGTTTGGGACAAACCGGTTTCGGCGTTATGCCATCTTCGGTGCAATTTTTCGTTTTCGAGAACTCTTTTCAACGCTATTTTTTGCATTGGCCGAGACTCAGGCGGGCATTGGCTAGAATTTTATATTTTCCTCCGATTTGTGGTGTGCGTGTTAATGTTGTTACGCAAATGGTGGGACGTACAATCTTACGCCTCCTCCGATCGGCAAATGGGTTTTTATGAGAAGTTTGTTATGGCAGAGTTATACTCGGAGGTTTGCCATTGCCTGCCGAGGGGCGACCGTTCTAAGATGAAACTTTTTCAAACTGGTAATTCTGTGGATGACGTAGTTTATTTATTAAAGAAAAGGCATTCGTGATCCTTGGGCACCAATTCCCATATTTGATCAACAACAACAAAATAATCAACAATTTTGAAAATAAAATGCTGTGCAAAATTTGATCATCTTCGTTCAACTAAAAAGTTTTGCAGACTCCAGTTCGTTAAAAAAGTATTGGTGGGGCGTATTAATGTGCTTGATACCAGATTTTCCGTTTTAGTTTTTGAAAACCCATAAAATACTATTTTTACACACAGAGCCGTTGCACCCGTTAACAAGCGAATTGAACTAAGATTTCTCTACCAACTAACGCAACCGTCGTGTGAGTGCACATCCAGAATCGGTCGAATGGCCAACAACACTCGGCCACTCAAAAAGCAATAATGCTGTTGCATCAGCCACGTCATTGTGTGCTAAATAGATTTCTAAAAGGCGATACAAATTCGCACAAACAATGGACAACCAACCAGCCTGTGTCCGCCTAATCGACTAACCACCGGCCGGCCGGCTGTGCCGTGCCGCTGTCCGTCCGTTCCTCCATTTAAACGTACAAAGACGAGTGAGTATGAGGAATCTACGCATGCGCGCTAACGGCTGCAGGGCCATATGCTATTTTCACCGCTGTTGTTGCCTTTACTATTGGCATTAATATTGGCCGTTTTGGTGAGTGCGGAAAGCCGTAGCACAACATCGCAACGGTGGCTGGTGGCTGGTGACAACAGTGGCAATATGTGGCACTTCGGAAAACATTGCGTGGCAAGAATGACCGAAATCATTGGCATAGCAGCGACGCCGACTGCCAAGTGCAGCAAGAAGCTATTGAGAAAGGCATCGACGTCGACATCACCGTCGGCAGCGGGAGCTGTTGCATAATCTGTTTACAGCTACTTACCTCAATGTGGCACGCAACATTGCAGTGATGGTATTCGTGGAGTAGATGGACAAAATAGTCTGGGCGACCCAGCACACCACTACACTCACATGCACGCATTGCATTTGTTATCTGCCTTCGATATTAGCCGTTGATGGTCGCCAACGATGTGGTTGGGTTTTTGTTGTTTCCACAAACGCATGCTATCAGTTGCTTGCCAAATTTTGTTGCATTTTCCACTGCCTATTGGCCTCGTTGCGCCTATGTCTTACTATCTTCCTAGGAGATCTACATTTTTGGCATCTTTTTTGTTTCCTCTGTGTTGGTCTTTGCCATCGCTTTT